TAGTTTGCAGATAAAAACAAAATACTGGGAAAGGGAGTCAAATGCTTTTCAAATACCTAATGAAAGTAATATTTCTTGCAAACAATTTGGAGCTTACTGATCTAGATGTAAACCCTGACATTTAGTTTGCCAAAGCACTCTGTATTGTAAACTTTTGTTTTTTGGCTGCAGCAGCAAATGCATTGTATTTTTTTCCTGATGGTGAAAACAGCAAACCATGCCTGCATATTGTTTTATAAATGGCTGTTTAAAGTCACCCTTGCATGCCCCTGTGACAGTTGGGGTGTGAGGGGGGGGAGAGTTAGAACATTGATGCCCCGAAACAGGAAGAACTTCGACAAGGACCTTCATAGTGGGATCACAAGGGATCATATTAACGAAAGGTGTAGGCTTTAAGATTGAAAATGACTAAGTTACATTAAGAGCTCATGCACACAGGCATATTGATTCATACAACGTAAAAACTTGCCTGTGAATGTCAGGTGCTGCGTACAGCCACCCATAGACATGAATGACTATGTGGATATATGCCAGTACTTGTGTAAGCCCGTGTATATAGCATACAGATGTATTCCCCCCCCAAAGGCAGAAAATCAAATGTGTTGGGGTGCATTGCATTACAAAAGCCCATTCATTTTCAATGGGCTGCGGAAACACCCAGGCAAACGCCGCAAAAACTTACAGGGCCCATATACAACGTTGTGGCGTTAACATGTGTTGCATTGAGACAGCCCATTTAAAATGAAATTACACCACTGTAAATTACCACAGTGCATAGGTGTGAAGCCAGCTTATTTATAGTTGTGTTCCTTACATTTTCACCTTTTTAACCTAAAGACACAGTTTAAAGTTTACAAATATCGATTTATTAACATTAATACATTATTTTTATTTTAGAATTGGTAAGCATTATGGAAGTTATGCTGTATTTCTATGCACTAATAATGATTTTAGTGTGTTTTGTTAAAAATATTTTGTGCCTTTTTTAAAAATCGGTAACCTCATCTTTTTAAATCTACTGTCCTATGCTTTTTCAGAAAATATATGGCTACCCACTTTCAAAGCTAACGAAAATAATGGGAGGCTGGGCCCAGCTCGTAAAGGTTAAAATAGGCTACTGAGATGTTTAAAGTAGTATTAAACACTCCACTTTTTTCAGTAATGTATCCAGATTAAACAAATATACATTGCCCAGCAAAGTATTTCTTTAAATTGTTGCCCGAGCAGGTTCCCAAAAAACTCTCTCGGCTTTCATGAACTTCCTGTCCAGTAAAAAAAGAAATCCATAAGGGACAGGGCAGACTCCAGCAGCTGTCCATCGACTAGCCTGAATAAGGGAGGAACACAGAGCAGGGGAGTGGTTTGCCTTGCTGTTCCTGTGTGTTTGTGGAGACGCACACAGCTGACTAGTGCTCACACAGGGTGTCTCTATAGGACCCTGCAAGGGAAAGGAGCCACCCTAAAACAGGAAATCTGGGCCAGTGCTTAAGGGACCAGCTGATTCTGCAGGAAGTTAAAACTTTTGAAACACCAAGGAGCAGCATCCATTGTACGTTATTTAACCAGCATTTGAAATAGCCTAAAAACCTTTTCACTTTAATATCATTTTTAAAGTGTATTTCCACTTTTGCAGTCAAGTTTGAGAAAACCTCACAATGTTTGTTCTTCACACAACATACCTAAAAATATATTTTTTAAATACCCTGCCTTGTCAAAAAAGTCACACACACTAATATTTTGTTGGACCATCTTTAGCTTTGATTACAGCACACATTCGCTGTGGCTTTGTTTTGATAAACATTTATCAAAAATGTAAACATTAATGCAACTCTGGATGGAAATACATTTTTCACTGAGATCTTGTAGTGATGATAGGAAAGTCGGGCCACTGCGTAAAGTCTTATCCTGCACATCCCAAAGATTCTCAATGGGGTTAAGGTCTGACCTCTGTGATGGCCAATCTTTGTGGGAAGATGTCTCATGTAGGGCTGCAACTAACTGTTATTTTCCTAATCGATTTTTGTTTTTTTTTTGATTTGTCGGATAAAAACTGGAATGCATGGCATTGCAGTACCGTGCGTTCCAGTCTGCTGCAGGATGTGCATTGCAGTGCCATTCATTACAATTGCACCCAAACGCACCTCCCACCCACAGTGTGATCGGCCAGATCACACTGTGGGTGTAAGGTGCATTTGAAATGCAATTTGTCAAGCTGAAACCAAAAATGACTTTCCCACATTTTTTTCTATAATTTTTAAAATAGTTGTATTGTAAGCACATGGCGCTTAAATAACTTCAGCCAGGCAATGACAGCTGCCAATGGCAAGATTCCACAGACGGCAGATGAATGTAAATGCAGCAGGTAGTGAACTGGTGCAATAGCAGGCTGGCTATTGCACCCGCCCACTGCTTACTGTGCCCTCCTCCCAGCCCAGAGGAGAGAGCTAGGGGATCCAAACAACTAATAAATGAGAATACTTGACATCTATATCAAGTAATCGACTAGTTGGTTGCAACTTTAGTCTCATGCCCCGTAAACCACTTTTTTTTTTCTTTTTTTTTCACTTTGAGCCTGTTGAATTGCCATGAATGCTTCTTAGAGCTGCTTTTTTTTTTTTTTTTTTTTTTTTTTTTTAAACTGGGAGA